CATGGGAACGTCCTGGTGAACTGCATACCATTTGATAACCACAGTAGGATAATTGCATAGCTTTTGATGATCACCGTTTTGAGATGCAGTTTTGCTGCTGGGGCAAAACTACCATGCAGCACCCCTAACAAAAACTCTTGGTCCTAGCCTTTAAATCACAAGTAAGCTAAAACTCAACAGCGATTACATCTCTGCTAAGACCTTCAGAACTCTTGTGTTCCTCAAGAACTACACAAATAATAAAAAAAAATGGCACAGCACATGAGAATGAAGATAAAACTCCAAAAACTTTATTGCTTCGCTGTAAGCTTGTAGTACAAATCAGACAAAAGCATCCTCTAGAGAGTATTGGATTTATTGAATTGTCTGTTGGCAATTTCTGCATAATAATTGTGTAAATTATTACGCAATTTCTGCATAATAATGTTTTATTTATTTATTTATTTTAGCCAGAGGAGTTTAAATTAAGATACTAGTTTAAAAAATCCAGGAAAGGTTTTCTGTTTCATGTTTTTTCTATTGTGGTGTCACCTGGGAGACAAATTGGTTGCCTTCACTACAGACTGTGCTTTCAGGGCTTTCTTTCCCCTTCTCTCATTTTCCATCCACTGTTACTGCCTCAGAGAGCTATGAAGCTTTTTAAACCAGTGCTCAAAGCTACCATGTTGCTATCAAAACTGTAGACTGGCAAATGCTTCAGTTTCTCTCACACACAGTCATTACAACAAATTGAGTTGTTGCATGCAAATTATCTCTGGAAAAGCAGTAATAATTAACTAAATTGCTTCTCATGTCACAGTGGTCCTACTGAAGAAGCACTTGAATGACAGACCTCACCTCTTGTAGTTTACACAGTACAATAGTTAGATAACGCTGTAACTTGATCATAGTTAATTTTTTGAAATTTGCAATGTTTCTTCAAACATGCAATTTTAATGAATTTTAAGTACATAGACTGAAAGGAAAGCTCTTTAAAGTTGTGCAATCCCAAGAAAAATGTGGGATGCGAAAGTTCATAAGGAACACAGTTTTGCTCATTTTAACTGTAATTAATAGATTGCAGTAAGCTCTTTATTATCCAGGCTAAAGAAACAAAACACATGGGTAATTGCAATGGTTTAACCCTAGCTGGCAACTAAGCACCACACAGCTGGTCACTCACTCAACATCCCTCACAGTGGGATGGGGGAGAGAATCAGAAGGGTAACAGTGAGAAAACTCATGGGCTGAGATAAAGACAGTTTAACAGGTAAAGCAAAAGACGCGCACGCAAGCAAAGCAAAACAAGGAATTCATTCCCCAGTTCCCATCAGCAGGCAGGTGTTCAGCCATCTCCAGGAAAGCAGGGCTCCATCACACGTAACCGTTACTTGGGAAGACAAACACCATAACTCCCCCTTTCTTCTTCCCCTAGCTTTCTATGCTGAGCATGACGTCCTATGGTCTGGAATATCCCTTTGGCCAGTTGGGGTCAGCTGTCCCAGCTGTGTCCCCTCCCAACTTCTTGTGCCCCCCCAGCCTCCTCACTGGTGGGGTGGTGTGAGAAGCAGAAAAGGCCTTGGCTCAGCAGTAACTAAAACATCCTGTGTTATCAACACTGTTTCCAACAGAAATCCAAACCAGCACCATACCAGCTACTACAAAGAAAATTAACTCTATCCCAGCCAAAATCAGCACAGTAATATATAAAATGGTGCAAACTAGGACACCAGAACATAAATGAGGGTGTGCTGAGGAGCAGAAAGGTCCATGAGACTGCTGACTGTGGAGCGAGTCAGTACACCATGGCCAATGTCTTGAATTTTGCATTCAGTGAGAGCTGTGAGCTGGGGGAAGTAAAACTGACACTGTGTTAGGATGAGCTATCTGCTCCCAGTGCAAAACGGAATGTTAATAGGTTTGGGGATGGTCATTTTAAAGGCAGGCTAAATCAGAAGTACTATTTTTGTCCCATTTTCCTTCAAAGAACAGCAGGTAAAGCTCCAGTTCTCCTCCTGCTAATCAATGTCTAGCTTGCTTTCTTAATCAGGTCTATCTTAGCCTGCATTAAATAAAGATATTCTTTACCAAGAAAAGACCATACCTTTTCTAGACATTTCTCTCCTGCATGTCTGGTATGTATGAGCATGACAACAGCTAAAAATAGTTCAAACAAAATACATTTCTCATGTTTTACTTATACATGCAACATCCCAAAAGAAACAATCATGAAACTATTTCTATGTAATCCTTAAGACAACTGTTAGTTTGTTTTAAATCATGATGCCACTTACCATCGATGTTACTACATAAATCTCTCTTCTGCTTGTTCAAACAAGTATTAATTAGGTATTTGACTCAGTAAATGCACCTATTTATGAGCCTCAATTTCATTCAGGTTGGTGCTTCTTATTCTCAGAGGCACTGCTGCTCCTGTGTACACCTCAAGTCAGAAGGCACAACAATGAAGCACAAGGTAACTTTTCCAACCTCCCCATTTATTATCATAGTGTCATATCTACATAAGCTGTCTTTCCTAAGCTGGTAAAGCTCTCTGAGGCTTTCTTCCTCTGCTTCCCCTTCCTGGGAAAACAGATTAAATGATATTATGTATTAAAATACACACTGTGAAAATGCACCCTCATCAGTCAGTTTGTATTCTCAGTGGTTGGTTGTTATCCTCAGGTGACCAACCCTAGCCTCTCACTTGCCCAGCCAGGGATCTGTCCCAGGACTTTCTCAGTATTGGTCTAGCCCCAGTTATTGATAAGCATCTCTACATGCTGCTTCTCTTTCAGTGCCCCATCTCCTTCTCTATTGTGTCCACCCTCCTGAATCTCAGTTCCAAGAACCAGGGAGAAATTAGAGACTGGTGGTAGATGAGTCTGAATTTCTCCAAGATGTTCAGCTCATCCACAACACCCTATTTGCACAAACATACACTGTTCTGCCATTCATTTTCAAGTAACTGCTGAAGAAGACATACCCTTCCTATTTCCAAACAAGACTCCAGAATAAAAGTATAAACTGAAAGAAGAAAATAGGATGTTTACAGGACTCTCATATAGATCATTTAATGCAACATTCATTCTCCAGCCCACTAGTCTTTCCCTTCTGAATCACTACTTTCTCTCCAAAGGAACATTCAGCTTTATTTCATAGATTCTTGGCCAATATAAGACTGCTTTTTTTCCCCTCCAGTGATAATTTTTTTTCTCTAGCAATATGCAAAATATTTTTTTACAGTTTTACCCTCATATTTTGAGGAATGTCACATCATAATCACATTAGAAGTCTGATGGTATTCAGCTGTTCATTATACAGCAGAGGATTTCTTATGGTGAAAATCAGTTGCAAAAGAAAAAATTGTACTGGATAGAACTCCTCTTATACTCCAGATCAGATTTTCCAATTTGATCAGTAGGAGTTAAATACTGTACATGCATTTGGCTTTTTAGGTCAGTATTTATATGGTCCCTGTCTTCTAGGTGGTTTATGTCACTAAGTAACTACTTGCCTTTCTTCTTTCCATTAATCACTGTCTATGCGGTTTGATCTGCCATTGTTTCATTTTACTAGCACAGTATTTGGAGGCAACTCCAGTTCTTCCACTAGCCTCTCCACAGCATTCCAAAGCTTGACCTTTGGACCAAGATAGAGGTCTAGAGCAAACACCCCATTTGCAATCATCCCTTTGGGTCTTACCATCTCTATCCACAGCCTTGAGTCAGTCTATACCTAACAAAAATCCCAAACGCTGCAGGATGTGTGCTGATGATTAACACCTTTTCCACTGACCCACACCAAAGCAATGGGAAGTCATGACAGAAGCAACATGATATTATGAGATGAATTTAATCCATAGAACCCCATTGCACTCTTCACCTACGTCTGTGCTGCATATGGGAGACCTGATTATAGCACACATAAAAGTACCCAAGCTTCAGTCTAGCTCACTTGACATTGTTGGCAGTGAAGCTGTGACTGCAGAGGATTCAGCCCAGGTCAACACACTTACCTCAGGCACCCAGTATTTGGCACCTTGTTGCTATTGCTTAGTATGCCTAACACTGAATTTAGAGCAGAAGGTATATACCTACATATATAAGCTATGCTTATCTGAATACAACCATTTATTTTGTTATGGAGACAATTCATCATGATTTTAAAAGTTATACAGTTTCATGGCAAAATTCCTGTTTTCTTTTACTAGAAAGAACATCCTTCACTACTTTCACTGCTTTAAGTCTATCAGTGTCTCTCAGTTGTGGGATATGAACAATGCTGGTAACAGTTTACTCCTCCTTGATTGGGAAGTGAGAAGTAGCTATTGTTATTGTCAGCCAGTCTTTACAGCAGCAAGGCAACTCCAGGCGGCCTTTAATTACTGCCAGGAACTCCATTCCTGGAGGGTAAGGAAGCTATTTATACCATGTTCACCATGTCCTTCCAGCCTCTGAGGCTGGAAGGTTCTCAGAGGGCTATTTTGAATATCAGGTGTTTGGGAGATTCTTTGTGATGGAAATGCTGTACAGCTGTCAAATTACTATTTATAATCAGGAAGTCAAAATCAAAGTGCATGGTGGTTTGAACCACTTGAGCTATAACTGCATCCGAGTCATTTAGCTTTGTTGAAATCTAATACAAAAAAATTCCACCACAAGAGACTACCAAGTGGTACTGAACTGAAAAATGTGGTTCAACTTCTTTGTCTAGTAAAAAAAAAAAAAAAAAAGTTGTCTTAAATATACCTAAATGCATTCCATATTGCTGGATATCTGTTGACAACCACCAGTATTGTTGCAACTGTACTCTTAATATAGTGTTAAGCAATCCTGACACTCCAGGGCATAGTTGTTGGAAGAGGCAAGAACAGGAAATTACAACCTACTCACAGTTTCATAATTGTTTTCATTTTACATTTATTAGTCTACTAATATGCACCACACAGTTACCAGCCCTCTTTTCTTCTCAACAGCCAACAATTGGAGCTGTTGGTTTTGAAGCACGGTTGTGTTAAGAGTTGCACTTCTTTCACTCTTGGTTACTCCCAATGCTGTGGAAGTCCTCAGGAATTTTTGTGCTTCCTTTCTAGAGTCACTTTGCACGAGGAATGATTCCAGGTGCCTGTCAAACTCTTGCCAAAAGAACTCTACATGCGTTGCTGGTCGTAAAGATGATACTTGCCGCTGTGCAGATGCATCAGTGGACAGTGTGGAGGAACTCTGCAATAAAACCCCTGATCCTTGCTCCTCAAACCCTTGTCTTCAAAACGCTACCTGTTTAAGCTCTGCTGGAAACCTCAGCTTTACTTGCAAGTGCCCTGCTGGGTATAATGGACCTACCTGTGAAACAGCTATCAGCGTGTGTGACACAAACCCTTGTGAGCATGGAGGCACCTGCCAAAATGGCCTGGCTGGGCCCACCTGCCTTTGTAGCGCAGGATACACAGGCACACTCTGTGAAATGGATTTTGATGAATGCATTTCCGAACCGTGCCACAATGGAGCAGTATGCAGGGATGGGGTTGGTGAATACTCCTGCTACTGCGTCCCAGGCTACCAAGGCAAGCACTGTGACCTGGAAGTGAATGAATGTGTGTCAGATCCATGCCTGAATGGGGCAACGTGTCTCAACCAGATCGGACAGTATGACTGCATCTGTCCACTTGGGTACATAGGTAAGCACTATTGAAACAACTTTTCCTGTGTGTCATGGAGAACCATTGTAATTCATGTTCCAAGTTTTACTCGCCCACCCACACGCTTATTTAGTCATATCTGTATTACCACCTTGCCTTCAGCTTCGGCACCAGTGGCTGTTGAGGCATTATGGGTTACCTTACCACTGTGAACTACTGATATCAGATAGAGAAAGATTAAAGAAATCTCACATTTACCAAAAACTACAGAGCAGTTTCGTGAACATCAAGCTGTCACAGGGCTAGGTTAACTTTCCTCTTAAAAGAAATATTCTCAAAATGCAAGTCCTCAGAGCGCTAGACATAGTTTTTGGTCCTTAGACAAAACCTATGTTTGACAGGGTTAAAAAGTAGATCTAATTAGACTTCCTTGATTTGCTAATCATGACAAACTGTACTCTTAAACCTAGATGTTTCATGTTAACCTCCTCTCCTCTGCACTTCCCAGAAACAGAGGACTCATTTGCAACTAGAATATTATGTAAGTTAAATAGTAAGAAGAGTATTATCAGATTCCCAAACTGCCCATTTTTTACTAATCCCATTTTATGTGGCTCCATTTTTAAGGGACAGGTGTGATTTTTCTTGCCTACTTCCCCTACTGGAGAGCATACAATCCTTTGCGGGAGTCAGCTCCCTTCAAATTTCAAAGCTGTATTCAGGGGTAGGACTGCAAGAGGAAGAACCATTAAAAGGAGAAAAGAGGAGGCATTTCAGTGATAGATTGCCAGTCAGGAAAGCAAAGGGGAAAAAAATAAAAAGTCATAGAGCAAAAGGAGGGAAAAAACCCAGCTATTGCCTCAAGTGATTCAAATGAATAAGAAATAAGAGATGTGGTTTACAGCTCCATCCCCAAATCCCCGTTCAGGAGGGGAAGTCAGAGGTAAAAAGCAGCTTTCCTGTGTCTGACACAGCACTTGTTGGAAGCCAGCCCTCGGTTAATATCCCTCATGAGCACAGAGAATGTTATTTGAAGGAAGCTTGTTACCTTTCCGCCACCCTGCTGCTGCCAGCGGGCGTCTGAGCCCAGGCCAGCTGAGGAGAAAACTACACAACTGGGGGAAAGCTGAAGAGCAGAAGGAAGGAAAAACCTATTAACAACCAGCACAGTTACTCTGCAGTGATCAGACTCAGCCCAGACCTCCTGTTGTATTCAGGAAACTGTATTTGTTTAACTGGCACTGTTAGTGGGGTCCAGGCCTGGATCCATAGCCCAGGAACTCAGTTTGAAAGAGACAGAATATGCACCTTAGAGACAAAGAGAGAGAAAAACATAATAAAATAGTAAAGCCCAAACAAAAAGAAATGAAGATTTAGACCAACACAAACTGCTGGAGGAAACCCGCTCTGCTGGAGTAGCTCCACTTTCATCACAAAATTCTGCTGTTTCCCAGGCTGACGCTCTCTGCACCTCACCAAAAATCAAGCAATGTCACCAAGTGCTCCGCACTCAGCACAAGCAGAGTTAAGAAATGAGGAGAGAACCAAGGAAGGAGAGGAGGTCTAAAATACAAAGCAAAAGAGGCTGCAGTGTTTTGACATACAGGTCCAACACTGCATCCAGCAGCAAAGAAACAGTCTTAGTAATTCTACAGCGGAGTAGTGGACTGTTCCTTCAGCAGTAAAACACCAGCTTTTAAAGGCTACTTAACAAAATGATTTATCAGAAGCATTCTTTTTTGTTGTTTTCTGCACCTTGCTGTGAGTTGCGCTAAATGCACAAGCCAGAGGGATTACTGAAAGCCCTGATGTGTCCCCACTGGTAATAAAAACCCTCATTTACTCTGTCAGGGGATCTTGCCAACATTATCCTGGCCTGACACCATGAATTACTGTGGAAAGTCATCCAGCCTCATCTCATTTCCGTAAGATGCTAAGAAGGTTGTATCTCTTGATATGTAGGTAAAGAACATACAGTAAACCTACAGCAGTAATGTTAACCAAATGCTTGAATTACTGGCTGCAGTTGCTACTTGTTTCATGGACTATGACTACTATTTTGTATGATTGGTATGCTGCAGCACTTCTTAAAATAGCTGAGAAATGTCACACGTAATTCTTACACAAATGGAAGAGGTTAGAACGCACCAAGAGCCAAAGACTGGAAAATTTAGCATGAAATCTGCAGTTTCTATGATAATGTTCTGCATGTGTGAAATTATTTACAAGACATGTGTCACACAGCTGTTAAATAATGAAGCTCAATTGGTTTGTTGAAGTTTTGCTGGCTACCTTAATCAAATGCATTTTTTCCTCCTCCATTGCACTAATTGCACTTGCTTTTAATTCACCCCAACAGAACATGGTGTACAAGCCTGTTATTACCCACAGCTAGGTACATTAATTACCTTGCTGGACACAGCTGAAGCCAGTCCTCCATTGCCAGTGAAAATTTTAGTGTGAACTATCGGGTGCACGGCACTTCCAAAACTCAGTCTTAGCCCAAGACAACAGCAGGAGAAAGTGTTTCAGTGACAGGCAAAATAGCGCAATGGGCTAGATTAATTCTCTGTGCAATACCTTTTACTATGATGTAACCACAGCTGGGATGAACTCTGTACAACATGAGGATATTATTCCTGATAGCTCTTTAAGTTCCCGTGCAGTATTCTTATCAATAACATATATGCCACGCAAATATTTAGAGTTGATGCATCATAAGTCTTAGGCACTTAAAGGCAAGCAGAGGCTCAGCAGCCTCAACCATGGGATGAAGTATCTCCAGTACAGATCTCGTTTCCCAACAATCTCATGGCAGTATCATGGTGGATATCAATAGCAAACAACATTGTCCATCCAGCAGCAATTGCCAACAAAGTGGACAGCCTGTTTCCTTCCTCAGCTTTCAAGTTTCAAACCAGCACGCCCCACCTTGCGCCCTAGCCAGCCTGAGCAGAGGATTCAGCCCAGGTTATCAGCTCTGCCACGATTCCTAAGCACAAGACTGTGATGTGAGAAGAGCCCAGAAGTACAGGCCACACGTCAAAGGGTTTTCAAAATAAAAGATTAGCAAAGGGCACAGACATCCAAAGTGTGCTTGTTGCATTCCATAACTTTACGGCACTGAAACCTTTGACAGGATTTAGCCCGGCTGTTCTCCTCCAATTGCGTCTGCATAGGGCAGTGTTGTAAGACCTGTAACAACTTGCATCTGTTGCATGCATACAGGCAACTGGTGGTTAGCATAGACCTGCGTGCAAAAAGGACGAGCCTTGCTCCAAGAAACCCAACTCTTCCCTCTGTCTAATTTTTTATGAACTCTCTTCCTGTCCCTTCAAAGCTGGTGCCTAGAAAATAGCTATCTGACACTCTCCATTCAGATGATGGCACATAAGATTACTATATACAGATTGAGGAATTTGGGGACAGTCCTCTGCACAGCACTACAGTGCAGGAGAGCAGAAGGGGTGACCTGAATACCAACTTCCAGCTGTACTAAGAACTTGCAGGTCCTCCTGGAACTACACTGAGCCTGGAAAGCCCAAGCATCTTTGACCAGAAGGTGATTTTACAATACATCTGTAGGCAGGCAAGTTTGAAAATGTTGGGTGTATTTCTTTCATGCTTGACTGCATTTACTTTTTATTGACTGGGGCTGTACAAAGAAGTGCACAGTAGGACTCATTTGAAAAGCAAGTAATATAAGAAATAATCTTAGTTCTTCAAAGAAACAGAAAAAATTAGAAATATCACTTATATCCACCTTCCCAATCTTTCAATTCAAACCACTTGTGCGGTTCAGTATCTGCTGAAACATTCTGCCTGCTCTAGGGTGGGACACCTTTGCTCTCGATGGTGTAGCCCCATGCAGTAACTGCGGCAGGGCTTCTTGGTGCTCTTTTTCCTTTCTGGCATATGATATCTGGCATACAGCGTATTTATGACAGAATGTTAGACTGAGGTGCAAATGCAGATCTAATCTTTTCATCTCTCTTCTTCACATATAAACAAGGCTGACAGCAGATTCAGTAGAGGCTAGGAAGGAATTCCCCCCGTTTGCATGGCATATCACATTGGCTGGATGCATTATACAGAGAGAAGTTTTCTTCTGAGGCAAGATTGCCGAAGGCAGGTTACTGGGCTTGATAGATTAAAGACATGAACCAAAACAACAACGCTATGTTCTCATGTTAATCGTCAGGCTGTTCTCAGGCCTGTAGTTTTAAATTTGGCTGAACTGAGGATCAGTTCAACAGGGCTTGTTTTGTCACATGATTTTTAGTGTTCACAGTAAGCTGTTAACAAGCTCTGGCAGATTTACGGTCACTAGACATACTTCTGCAAACACATTGTTTACAATTACAGTGAATTCACAGGGCAATGACCACGGAGGGATTGCTCACTCTATCTGGATGTAATGTACATTACCATAAAGCCATAAGGGAGCGTTCCTGTGCTAGGGTCTCGCAGCAGGCTCCCGCTGAAAGTAGTGGCTAGCTGATCAGTGAATCTTAAACTGGAGGTACGGGACCAGTGACTTCACCCATCCAGTGTTCTATATGTGGTCTCATGGAACTATAAAAATATATTCTCTAAAATTACAGAAGCAATATGTCTTAACTACTGGAAAGATGAATTTACACTTTAATGTTTAAATACAATGAAAAACAGCTATGAGCTAACATCCTCAAATTTTGTTTTGGTACTTTAAGATATTTCCAGGTATTTATCCATAATATGGATTTTTTTAATATTTTTTTTTAAACAAAGATGCTACATTCAAAAGGGTCAAAATAAATTAGTAATCAAGTAACAGTGCTAAATATTAGCAATCTCAGTGTTTTGAGAAAGACATTCCGAGTTAGAATGTACAAATTTCACAGCAGGACAGAGCTGGCAAAAACAGCATAGAGGAAGAATTAGAGTTGAGCTCCTAAATATATTGTTAAGATAACACCCATCATCAAAACATGTCTGTTCCCATCTTTTGAAAGCCTGTCCCATCATCTTGTACTGAGAACATCACCTCCCCACAAAAATGGAACCCATTCTTAGGGCTGCAGATTCTCTTTCAAGTAGGAAACTCCCCTGAAAACTATTTACAGTACTTCTGCTACTTTGGTAAGCCAAATAAAAGATAGGGAAGTCCACTTAAAAGCACCTTCTTCGTTATCATTTTGCATTTTGTATATGCTTCGTAGCTGATACGGTAGCTGTTAAAACAAATTGACTTGGCAGGTGAAAATTATTTTAAAAAAATATCACTCTTACTCAAAATACTAAATAAGTGCATAAGCATACCAGACCCTGAAATAATCAAACCAGGAGCTGCAAGGCATTAATCACGAAATTTTCTTAGTATCTCTGGGACTGTGCTAGAGATAAGAAAAAGGAGTGTATGTTTAACCTGCCAACTGTCATAAATAGCTATAAACTAATATTAGAACTGATTTAGTTCCATCAATTATCTCTGAAGAGCAGCTCCAAGATTCTGACCTCTTGCAAACATGGCATCATAGACGGATTCATTTACACATTGCTAAATCTTTAAAAAAAAATTGAGCAATAAAAGACAGCTAAACAGACAGCTTCCCAATGAATTCAATTCATTGTGCAGCTTTAAATGGACTCTTCTGAGGTCATTAAATTACTATTCACTTCTGTATTATACAAATAGGATAGTAGCATGGTTTGAATAATCTGAAAATTAGTTTGCTCTGTTTCCATGTTCAAGCTAACATAAAAAGTTGTTATTCTACCTATTCTTGTGAATAACAACTTGTTTGTTCTTTTGTAAATTCTCCCAAGCCTTGAAAAAACAAGTCTTGCAACGCACAGTGAGGTGGAAATGCCTTTTAAAAATAGGCAATTTCTTAAAAATAAAAAAAAATAAAAATAAAATAAATTACATGTATATTGTACTTAAAACAGCCCTTGCTGAGATCTCCAAAACTATCTCCTAAGTTTGGGGTTTGCTTGTTTCCTTTGCTTTTGAAGGTATAAACTGTGAACTGGAAATAAATGAGTGCTCGTCACAGCCGTGCCTGAATGGTGCGACCTGCCATGATTCCCTGGGGAGCTTCACCTGCTCCTGCACACCAGGCTTCCTTGGTGACTTCTGTGAAACCAACATCGACGAGTGTGTCAGCCAGCCATGCCTCAATGGGGGACAGTGCATGGACGATGCCAACAGGTATGTCTTCTACAGCTGGGTAACACTAATGTGAGGTACTATTAGCTCCTCTGTTTGCAGATGGGAATGCTACCAGAGCCTGCACTGCTAGGTAGCTGATTTCATTTCAAGTTGTGGATGTCACTCCTTGATCCTGCACTGTTTTCAGTTTAAATCTGAAAAAGATTAAAGAATGCAATTCTGGTGTCAAAGCCAATAGGATGACAAAATATTTATGGCAAAGATTGACCAAGAAGTACATTTTTCACATTTGTACTTTCACTTTAAATATTTACCACGTGTTGCTTGTCTGGCCCTGAGGATTGTCATTTAGAGATGGATTCTGTTTCTAATACTTATCAAACTTTAGTTTCCAAGAGAGATGTGAGAGTGTATAAAATTGAATTTGCCAACAGCAGCTGCCCACACCAACAGATAGAAGCATTAGAAAAGAGAGGCAAAGGAAAACTGTAATAATAGTAACCATAGTGATACATATCATTAGGAAATGTGTCAGGAATTTTACAGGCATATAGGACAACACCTCCTTATTCAAAATAACCCACAGTCCATGGGAGAAAAAAAAAAAAAAAAAAAAAAAAGAGGGCAACAGAAAAGTAAGCTTCTCCACCTACTGTTAGTAGTCCTACACAGAGGTCCAACCGCAGCCCAGGCAGCCAGATCTCTGGCATTCATTCACCAATACTGGCTTTGCATACTAAGCATGAGATTATCAAACTGAAATTCATATGTATAAGCTCAGTCTGAAAGTTCGTTAAGTGTATTCATGCAAGCACTCCTCTTGCCAGTATGATTTGTCCTTTATCGTGTATTTTCCAGTTTTTATACAGCAGTTTTGAAGATTTTTAGTACCTCCAAAATCAGCCCAGAAGTCACGTCAACAAAAGTCATGCTTGCCTTGAATGAGAGGGGGAAGAGATCATGTTCTGGGAACAAGCTTTTGTACAGCATGGTGACACGGCACCAACCTTGTGGAGCTCCTTTTCAGCAGTGCTGAATGACCCTGAACAGGACAAAGCAATATACTATTTTCCAGTGTAGCTAAAGCATGACAGCAGGGAGAGGGAGGTCACCTTGCACCTTACTAGTTCACAGCAGACCCTCTTAGTAACCTGCAAGCCCTTTGAGGATACACACATGAGGTGAGTAACCAGGATGCTCATTCAGGCCAGACTTAATCCTACTCATTTTTCTCCTAGCTTTTAAAGCTGAGGTAAAAGAGCAATTTTAATTGGCTTGTAATACTGCAGGGTGTCTGGGGAACAATTGGAGTTCTTGCCACATTTGTTACGTGATGAAAAGGGTTGGACAACAAAGCAATTCAAAACAGAAGGGTGTCTAGCAGTTTCTTTTCTTTTGTATATTTTTGGGGTTAAATGAAGAATTGTAATCTTTTAACAGTAGTTTTCCTTTTCTGACTAATGCTACAGTACAGCCAAGGCTTTTGTGCGTACCACCAGCTCTCAGAGAAGTCTGCAAGGCGACATATTTAGCGTTAAGAGCTGTAAATACAAACGCTGAACCAAATTCTCTCCCAAATTTCAGTCTGATCTTCCAGTGATGTTTCATGAATGCAACAAAGCAGAACTTGATCTTTTAAAAATCCAATTTTGCATTATTGTACCTTTCTTATTTAAACTCAACAATTGACAGAGATGCCTTAGTTGGACCTACGGAACCTGGTGTGCACACGCACAGAGGATACCTCTGCATGCTCCAAGCCTTTTTTCCATAGGAAACATTTCCAGGACCTTCAGTGCTCTTTCAATTGCATAGGAAAGAATGTCTGCACATATTGCTTTCGGCATATTGTGAGAACATCAAACAAGAAGCCCCCAAAATATTTTAGGTAGAGTATCTAAGAGTATCACTCTTAATAGAAAAGGCCATCTGCCTGCTCAGTCATAGCCTGCCCACAAGCAAGGCACCCTCCAGAATCTCTGACGGTCGACAGCAATGTCAAACACTTAAAGATACCTGAGAAAAAGCCACACATGTGGGGTTTCACATTAAGCAGTGAGTTGTGAATATTCCTCACTGCTCCGTGATTCTGGACCAAAGGGAAAAAAGAGTATGGGCTAAGGCAGGAAAAAATCTTTCACCACAAAGCTGAACAGCACCAAACTGAAGGCACATGGAGGAAATGTGTGAAAAACACAGCAGAAGAAAGAGACTTTTGTTTTGAGAACATACCTTGGAATGAAAATTATTTTTCTGATTCACATCTTCCTCATTACTTTTTATATCCTAAATTCAAATGCCACCTGGCCTAAGTCATCTCTGATTTTGATTTAAGAATAATCCATACACTACTAATAAACTGGCCTGCCAGAAGTTTCTGCTTATGTACAGTTAAATAGTGCAGTAAAAAGTTTATGCTTTTTGGTCTGTTAGACTGCAGGAGCCAGTTGTTCTCTGATGTTCCCTTGTGTTCAACAGTTTTGCTTTCTCTCCATATATTTAGTCCAAGTCTAAGACTTAGCTATTAAGCACAGAAATTATCAAATAAGTATACTTACCTCTTGTTCAGCAAGATTCCCCATAATTTCAATTGTACAATAACCAGTGTATCATTTTAATGTAAAATAAAACAATATAAGAATAAATTTCTGTTTCTCATAATTATTATTAGACAAAGATCATCCAAGCATGCACATTTAACATAGTTATCTTGCAAAGGCCTGTCTTGTCTTACGACACATACAAGTTGACCTTATACCTTATGACCTAAGCATAGGAGTTATATATTTTATGATAATTAGCTTGCCTGGAAAAAAAAACCAGCAAACAAAAAACCCCAGACATTACTGATTACCTGCACGTTGTTCATTTACATATACTAGTTTGTTTACTTCTAAAACCGTAATAGTAACATTGCTATCAAAAGGAAGCTTGTATTACTGTTACTATGGGAACTACACAAACAATTGACATTTTTGTTCTAACAATATTGTTTTTCATCAAAGAAAAAATATCACTTAGTCGAGAAACAGAAATTGTCTTCCTTTTTTCGCCAATTCAATTTCTACCAGTCCAAGAGAAAGCGATACTAACACACTTACTGCCTGTCTCCTTTTCATTTTGTGAATAATGTTAAGCCTACAAAAATTGCATTGGAAATGACAGAAACTTCTTTCCCCAAAAATTAAAAAAAGAAGAAAAAAAAAAAATCAATAATTCTTAGAAGAAATGATCTGTCAAAACCAATTTGAATTCACAAGCACGTTTTTTCCCCGGACGAAACCACATATTTCAGAAAAAGCTCATTGGTTCCCAATTTCTGCAGTTTCTCCTGGAGCACCAGATGGTGGTCTCGAGCCTGGACTCAACTGTGCAAGCTGCTAGCCAAGGCTACACAAGAAGCCTGTGCAGGTTTGGGAACAAAGCCCAGATCTCCTGACTTGCAGCTAGAGTGAACATTGCATTCTGTGTTGCAGGTACAGCTGCAACTGTACTGGTACTGGATTTATGGGCCTACACTGTGAGACCTTAACTCCCTTATGCTGGTCACAACCATGCTACAATAATGGCACTTGCGAGGACAATGCTGACAATTACACATGCCACTGTTGGCCAGGTAAGCTCTAAGTTCTGCTATAAACACTCTCTTTCCTTGCGTAGTAGATAATGTCCTCATGTTTTTGTTCATACAATAAAAGGTTGAAGCTACATAACCTTAAAAAGAGTCTATGGGCTTGTGTTTAGATGGGCTTCACTCATCATGAGTCAGAGCCCTATGGGTGAGTTGCTCTCTTTCCCAGCTAAGGATTGATTTCCCTGCACAGCAGAAGTGGGCAAAACCAGAAAGTGACAGTATTATGGACTCAAGACAGGAGATAAGTCAAAGCTGGGATCCATCCCCCAGTTGCTTAATCCTTTAACCCATGTGATACGTGAATCACTGCTGCGGCCGACCCTGTTTTAGTCTTCATTAACATGACAATTAAACCAGTCTAAAACCTTACTTTTCAATGCAAAATGTTGTCTGTTTATGAATAAAAATTAAACTACATGTTACATTGGGAAGCTGATCTCCTTCGTATCACCAGTGCAAGCTCTTCTGTCTAGCAGTGTACAGTGAAACACCCTGGGCTGTGTCCTCCTCTACCAGCAATGCTTGCATACCCAGCCATTTGCGAAAAGGCTCCCTCCTGGGGGACACAGACCCTGCGCTCTTGAGAGACTTTGTGAATTTTTCAGCACACTGACTAGCTACAGGAAGTCTCTCTAGAAAGTTTAATGTCCATGTCCTTACCGAGGACGCACAAGCACTGTGATGAGTAAATGCCACAGTGTTGTTGGACTACACGGTTCTCGGTGCATTAGAAATGGAGAAATCGGGCAGAACCCTTAGCATTTCCCAGAAACTGGGGAATTCAGACTCCAGATCAAGCACGTTACAAACACCAAATACTCCCTGTGCTCCTCTGTTGTAGGGAGGTGGTGCAAAAGACAGGGAAAACTTCACACAAGCCGAGAGCCTATCTACACCACAATGCAGCTCCTTGTTATCCACATCAATCTCCACATTACTTCCCCCAAAACCCCATAGTCTGTACAGCACAGCTCAGCTCAGCTCAGCTACCTAACGCAGAAGAGCCGTAGCAATGTCCTGCCACTGAGCCCCGACAGAGCCAAAAGCAATCGTCGGCACCTCCGAGAAGCAGAGGAAGCCTTTTAGCACACGACAGAGCCTGAAACCAAGCGCATCTAATAGTCACAGTGCATATTCACAACAGCATTTCCTGGTCTGGAGTGAATACCTAGCACACCGATTAAATGCCTTCTCCTCGTGGCTCTCCGCAGGCTACGCGGGTTCCCGCTGCGAGGAGGACATCGGGGAGTGCAGCAGCAGCCCCTGCCTCCCCGGGGGTGACTGCGTGGAACGCTCCTGGGCCGGCCGCTACGGCAGCGTCCCAGGCCTGCCGCCGGCCTTCCGCTACGACGAGGCCGAGGGCTACATCTGCAGCTGTAAGCCAGGCTTTGCCGGTAAGACCTTTTCGGTGAAAGCCCGGGCTGTCGCGTGGGCCCGGCCGTGAGTAACGCCGCGCGACGGCCCGCGGTCTGAGGGGCCGCAGCGCAAAGGGTCCCTCTGGCGGCCACCGCGCGCGCG